GAAATGTCTTTAAATGTAGATGGAGCTTGGCCATTTAAGGCTTTATATGTAAGAAGGAGGATTTTAAATTCTATTCTGGATTTAACAGGAAGCCAATGAAGAGAAGCCAGGATAGGAGAGATATGATCTCTCTTTTTCATTTTCATCAGAACTCTGGCTGCAGCATTTTGGATCAGCTGAAGGCTTTTAACTACAGTTTGTGGACTTCCTGATAGTAAAGAATTACAATAGTCCAGCCTTGAAGTAACAAATGAATGGACTAGTTTCTCAGCATCACCCCTGGACAGGAGATTTCTCATTTTTGCAATATTCCTCAGAGGAAAGAAGGAAATTCTACAAACCTCTTTGATATGGGATTTAAATGACAGGTCCTGATCAAAAATAACACCAAGATTTTTTACTTTATTATCTGAAATCAGTTTAATCCCATCCAAATGAAGTGACTGGCTAATCAGCTTCTTTTTCAGAGACTCTGGTCCAAAGACTATAACTTCTGTTTCGTCTGCATTCAGAAGCAGAAAGTTAAGAGTCATCCAGGTTTTTATGTCTTCAAGACATGCCTGTAATCTATGTAATGGGTTAGCTTCATCTGGATTTATAGACAGATATAGCTGGGTATCATCAGCATAACAGTGGAAATTAATCCCATGCTGTCTAATAATTCTACCAATTGGGAGCATGTATAAAGTAAAGAGAATTGGTCCTAGCACTGATCCCTGTGGTACTCCACAGGTAACCTTTGAGCGTGTTGAAGATCTGTCATTAACATGAACAAACTGAATTTGATCAGATAGATAAGATTTAAACCAGTCTAGTGCTGTTCCTTTAATTCCAACAAAATATTCAAGTCTTTATAAAAGAATATTGTGATCAGCTGGATCAAATTCAGCACTGATTTCTAACAGGACAAGCACAGATACATGTCGGGACAAATCTGTCCATGGTCATTCACTGAAGCCATGAGAATATCATAAGTGACTTTCACCAGAGCTGTTTCAGTGCCATGGTGAGTTCTAAAACCAGATTAAAACTCTTAACTGATCAATAATTGGTCAATTGTTTAGCAACTATTTTATCTGGAATTTTAGATAAATATTACATAGAGATCTGTGTTTATATTCAGCATTATTTGGTCAAATAATGTTTTATTCACCTCATGGATTCGCATTGTGAATAGGTCTGAAAACATTCTAATTTCTCTAAATTAGTGAAAAGCTAATTTGATCATATTCAAAATTCTTCCAGATAAACTTTGGTTTCAAACACAAAATCCATCTTAAACTGTAATATGGTTTTCAACCGTTTTCCCCTTCCTCTTTGTACCTAGTAGTTTAGTTTAGTTGAGTTTTACTAGTCTTAGTTGAGAGTTTTAAACTGAAATATGTTTGACTTGGAGCCGAATGAATTTTGTTAATAAAAAAGAAGTTGTGGTCAATTTATTCCATGTATGTGCAGAATTAACTGTTTGACCATGATTAGTGCTCGAATCACTCTTTCATTTATTGTTCTAACGCACAGTTAGTAGGACTGTGTGTCCATAAACAGTATATAACAGCTGAAATAATATCATATTAAATAAGATATTTTACCACCCCTACAGGGGAGGGCAATAAACATCTTAAAGTATCAGAAATATAAATTCCAAGCTGGTTGGGAATTGAATAGAATATAAAATCCCAACATTAATGTGACATCCTACCTGGATGGGCATTGAACTTCAAATCAAAACAGGAAGTCATTCCTGCCTGTGGCCATCAAACTTTATAATTCGTCTCTCTGAAAACCATTTCATTTTATTGCTTATTTATTTATTTATTTAATTATTTATTTATTTCATTACTTCACTATGTGCAATGACTCGGTGATGTGGAATAATTGTAATTTTGTACTGAGCAGCGTTGTAAATAGTGTTAATTGTATTTATTGTGGTGCTGGTCTTATTTTATTCGTGTTTTATTTTTGTTTATATGGAAAGGGGGTCATTTTATTTATTTTATTCTGTCCTATTATATTTTGTTCTATTGTACCTCTGTAAATGGTTGCACTGCAAGAACTACCACAGACTGCCACTATGGCTCCCTGAGCAAGACCCTTAACCTCACACTGCTCCCTGGGCGCCTCACAATGGCAGCCCACTGCTCCCCAAGGGGATGGGTTAAATGCAGAGAAGTAATTTACCTCTGGGATTATTAGAGTATATATATATATATATAAAGAACTTCCCTCAAGGGATTAATAAAGTGATCCTGATATTGGAAGTACAGTTTAATGTGATAAAAATATGTGAATTGTTCCAACTGGAATGAATGAAATGTTTTTTTTTTATTGATTTTCATAACTTTATGTAAACATCCGCCAAACAAAACCAACCCATCCCAAATCAACAAGGAGCACTGCAGTGTCCACCTATATACATACATATAGCCTACACACACAAAATACAGACAGACATTCCCAGGCAGGTTCAAAGTACTAGAAACTGTCAGACAGCCAATAAATTGGTTACTGAATTTAAAAAAGAGGACAAAGAAGAGGGGGGGAAAATTACAGTGTTTGTAAGAAAGCTTGCAGGGGGGTTCCAGATCCTCCAGAATTTGTCCTGCTTTTGATGAAGTCCATGGGTCCATTTTTCAACTGAGGCAATAGCAGAAATTTGTGACCTGTAGGGACCTGTGACTCACTGTCTCAGTAGTATTTATTTATTGGCCAGAAATAAGAGGATTACAAGCAAATGTTTAGTATCTGCATTAAATAGAGTGTCTGGATCAAGATTAAAAAGACAGAAGGAGGGAGCCAGTGAAAACCGTTCATACAATGATCTCTTGCATCATCAGGTGAGCCTCTTTCCAGAAAAAAATTAATACAATTGCAGGACCAAAATAAATGGATAAATGTGCCCCAATGTATTTTGCATTTATGACAAAGATCTGAAGCATCAGGAAACATCCTCTAGAGACAAACAGGTGCATAATAAGTTCGGTAGAAGAATTTAAAGTTCTACTCATGTATAGAATAATGGTCAGATTCCAAGACTCCTCGTTATGAGGCCTACAAATGCGTCCATCTTTTTGCCCGATTTGAAGGATGGTTCCGATGTATCCTATGTAACCTTGGGTATCCCAGGATTCATTGCGAGAACAAGCAAGCCGGCTGCTCCGTGATCAGAGGAAAAAGGCACTTGGTGACGAACTGTGGTGAATATTGGAAGTTCAGTTTAATATAATCCAAGTCTGTGAATAGTTCCGTCTGAAATGAAAATAGTTGTTTTAATGGTTACTGAGTCAGATATGTGGCGGTAATGTTTTTTTTTTATCTAAAGGTTTTTATCTGTTACTGTGTAAATGGGTTTGGCTGGAATTTAAGGACATATTCTAATATATCTGCAGTGTGGGGACTATAAATCTGATAGGATTTTTATTTTTTTAATTGCTATTTTGCAAAATTTCCATAACAAAGTATTTTTTTGTTGTTGAATATAAGAGATTTTTCCCTATATATTTTTTATATATACGTACACTGTTTAGGTTGACTTATACCTTTCTACCCCTGATACACATGCCCTTTGAAGATGAGCTGAATGTTTGGCACAACACCATCTTTAAGTTGTCCAAATGAAGCTAATACAAACTTATAAAAGCTTTGAGTCAACAACAATCTTGTAATACTATTATGTCATAGCAAAAGTCTGGCATCTTCCTTTTAATAAACCCAGCAAATTCCTGTAACATAATGTAAGATGTGTTGACAAACCAAATCGATTGGAAATCATGTTAAATTCTGCCTCTTCCACTGATGTAAAGTTGCTTGTTAACGTTAGCAGCTAGCTAAACTGTAACGTTAGCTGCTAACTTACTAACGTTAGGTCTCACTTTGCAGCTTCTTGTTATTAGCCAGCTAACGTTAGGCTAATAATGAAAATACAACAACACTCAGATTATTGTTATTAGCCAACTAATAACTACAACCACATCCACAAATATTGTAATTTACACCAAAGATTAATTGTCATACAATCGTTATTGGTGTCAGTAAAACCTATATAATTGACTAATAATCTCAGCCTTGATAACTTGCGCAAGTAGCCGTGATGCACAACTATGCTGCGCGATTAAGTCATTTTTCGACAAGAAAATCTGCAATTTCAACATGTTCAAGCGTAAAGAATAATAGCCACGTTCATAATGTTTGTAAGAAACCAAACTGTTTGTAAATCCGTCAAGAATTCAGTGAGATAAGAGTATTTGTGTTCGTGCTGATCACTCACCTTACATTAGGTACCACAGAGCACAACAGAAAGCCTGCCTGAGGCAAGATGGCCGCCGGTGATGACGTTTGAGACTCCGCCGTAAGACATCTAGCCTTTATTATGGATATCTATGGCTGGACCTGTTTGAATTCACAGCCAAAAGTCTTCCGGTCTCCTTATTTTCAAGGACCTCAAAGGATCCAGTCCAGGTGGACCGCGTCCTTAGAAGACGCAGCCTTCAAGTCGAACGCATCAGAAGGCTGCATTTGTCGGCCGCATATGGAAGAGTTTTTGAATCCGAAAACGCCACGGCGCCGCGCTATGACGCAATCGGCCGACGAATCTTGCCTTCGGAGGACGCAGCCGCCGGATCCGAACGCAGCAATAGTTCCATCTAATTCACTGACAGCGGAAGTGGAGCACCAGAGGCCCTTTCAAAATAAAATAAATCAACCAATAAGATAAACCATGGTTGTATTTGATTCTTTTAGCTATTTTAACGCCAGAATTGATCATCTATTTTTGTTTTAACAGAAGAAGGTTTGTCTCTGCAGCCACACTTTCACGAGGAAACATATTGAAACTAAATAAAAAGAAACCCATATGAAAAGGTATTGGTTTATATTTTTCTTAGACTACAGCAATGTTATAATTATTTAAAATAATAAGAAGCCATTGAGTGTTTATAGTTGTGTGGACAGAGGGGTCAAGCCTTTGCCTGGAAGCCATTAGTTATCTGTTCTCTGCTAACTTGACCCTCCGCCTCCTTCAGCTCCACCGAACAAGACTTCCGGTGGCTTGTCATGGCGGTGGCATGGTGAAGCCAGCAGAAAGGAGAAAATATTCGCCCGCTTTGTCCTTTCTGGCCCATCCAGGTCAGACATTCATGAGGAAATAAGGCCGTCCATCGCCTCTCCAAACGTCGGACTTCCCAGCCGAGCTGTGCGTGTCCCCGCGGCCGGCCATGGCGGCTCACAAACCAGTGGAATGGGTCCAGGCCGTGATTACCAGATTTGATGAGCAGGTAAAGGGGGCTAATCCAGGTGGGCTAATCCGGGGCTTGGTTTGTAGCAGCATCGAGTTTGCGGCTCTTCCTGTGCGCAGATGTTGTTGTTAAATGGGCTGTGAGGAGCGGAAGGAAGCGGCTCTCCTGTCAGCTCCAGAGCAGAGCTGAGTTTAGAGCACCGGAGAGGAGCTACAGGATGCTAACGCCTCCCTCCCTCCGCGGCTCTCCTGTCCCCCGCAGGTCAGCCGTGGAGGGGAGGCTGCCTCACTCCTCTAAACATCTGCAGTTAGACTTTCTGTGGGAGGTGCTGGAGGAGCCGGAGCTCCGTGGAGATGCCTGACTCATGTAGCTCCGTCCCGATAGGAGGCTAGCTTTAGCAGGCCTGATGCACCCGGTCGTAAACAAATGCCCCGCTTCATCTGCTGCTGTGGAGGCTGATCCAACTTCAGCTCCATCAGGCTCACTGCTTCCATTCTATGCAGCTTATTTCTATAGCACCGATTCACAGCATGTCATCTGAGGTCACTTTAAAGTTCACCAGATCATCAGATTGATTCAATGTTTTCTATCTAAGTAAAACCAGCTGATTGCATCGACTCATTGACTCTTCAGCAATCCCTTACACTAAGCGTGCTTGTAGCGACAGTGGAGAGGAAAAACTCCCTTTTAACAGGAAGAAACCTCCAGCAGAACCAGGCTCAGTGTGAGCGGCCATCTGCTGAGGCCCACTGGGGTTCAAGGAGACGGAAGCAGACGTAGAAAAAGAAGCATAGATACAAAAGGCAACCGTCAACCAGCTCCACAGGCGGCCCCGTCCAGGAAACACACAGCCAGGCAGACAAGCTCCGAGCCAGCTCCCATGTCAGAGGATGAAGAGAGCACATCCAGTTAGTCACAGTCAGAGAAACAGGACTACACTGAAAAACAGGCCAAGCTGCAACATCTAGAAACAAAGTTGTTGATGGCAGCAGCACAGCTGATATTTCTCTCCAGGATGGAGTCACAGCCAAACAGGAACAGACCAGATGAAGCTACTATGAGAAAAAGTGGATAGATTCCTGCTGCAGGTCTCCTCTTTTTACTCTTTGTCTCATAATCATTTGTTTGGACATCTTCAGTTGATAAGATTACAGTTCAGCCACATACTTTCCATTTAATCTGAGCATATTTAGCAGATTTTTGACCTGCGAGGTTGGCTGACATGTGCTGGTGACGATTCTGTTATCCAGGTCATAACCATTCCAAAAAAGTAAAAAAAATCAATCCACTGGACTTCGTTTCCAAGTTTGAAGACATTTTGCTTCCCATCCAGGAAGCATTTTTGCTTATAGATGTTGGAGATTGGCCTGTTTTTCACAGTTTTTATTCTCCACTGTCGCTACAAGCATGCTTAGTGTGAGGGATTGCTGAAGAGTCAACGAGTCGATGCAATCAGCTGGTTTTCCTTAGATAGAAAACATTGAATCAATCTGACTGGATGATCTGGTCTAACTGTAAAGTGCCTTGAGATGACATGATGTGAATTGTCGCTATAGAAATAAACTGAATTGAATTGAACTTTTCAATTAAAAATCGTAGAAATAACGTTGAGTTCGAGGCTCTTATAATGAAGCCCCAATAAGTTTTCTAAAGGCTTTGTTGAGCTGCTGGATAAAGCCTGGAAATCGACGCTATTTCTGATGTTTTGAATTGAAAAAGCTTCCTGGATGGGAAGAGAATCGTCTTCAAACTTGGAAACAAAGTCCAGGGGATTGTTTTTTAACTTTTCTAAAATTGGCTGACATGTCTTTGTTTTAATTTACTTCTTAGTGACTCTGTTTTCACAAGCCTTTTCTTCTGGTTTTAAATGCTTAAGATTATGGCTTTTTTACTGAGATTTACCAGCTCAGCTCAGATTACTGCAGCATTGGGTGGTGTCGTTAGCCTAATCTCCAACTAAAACCTTTTTGGTAGTTTAGTTGGTTAATCTCAGTAACACTGTAAGGGATCTGAACAGAATATGAACTATTGATCCGTTTCTTTGATGCTTTTTGCACACAGCAGACCCAGAGTCGCTACAAACCAATGAGATCAGCTCCTCAGGCTCATTTATTAAAAGATGTTTTACAATCTTTGGGCTGATTGGTACCAGCGATGCTGGACTGTTGGCACCTTCAATGTTCAGTCAAGTCTGATTAATATGAATGAATGCATGAATTAGTGATTGAGTGACCTTAGATGATATTTCACACAGATTATTTCACACAGATTGGAATATTTCAGCTCATCATGTTGTGAATTTTTAAACAAATTTCAGGTTTTCCATTCTATGCTGTAAATATCTGTGCTGGGCTCCTCCTGCAGCGCAGCAACCATCAGTGGTTCTGCTCAGCTCTGATAGAAACCCAGGTCGCTTTGATTGCTGAATCAGCTCAGCTTCCTCTTGACTCTTAGCCTGATAAACCAGATTAAATCTGTAATTTAGTTTGGCCAAGATGAATGAAACATCAGAAGATTGTTGATGAGAACAACCCGTTGTTTTTCAAACCATGTCTGTGCCTATTGGCCAACGCTCTGACCAATGAAAGCAACTGACTGTGACGTAGGAAGCGCGACAGAAAGCTGGTAGGAGAGTGTAAACAAACAGCATGTCGGTAAAACGGCGAATACGTCCTTCTTAAAAATGAGTGTAGAGCCTCTTCCTGCTCACGTTTCAACCAAAACCCAAAGTCTATTCCTTCCAAAACTGATTCCAAAGCTGAGTCAAAGAACTGTTCTATAGTTGCTGCCATCTTCCTTGTTGTGTTTTCTCCAGCGTCACGCGACTTTGTTGTCACGCCCTCAAAACACCGCCTGCTTTGCATCCAGAAATTCAAAACACATCTCTGCGTTGTGATTGGCCCACTAGTTTTGGGTCTGAGGCATTGATCGAGGCTAGACCACTGGCAGGCAGAAATGATTTTGGCGTCTGGCGGGGGGGAGGGGCTAGTTTACTAGGCTACTTGACTCTGTAAATTCTGGCCGTTTCTCAATATGTGTACTTGAACGAACATTTAGTGCATAATTTAAAAAAAAATCCATTCTTGAGAGGAGCACAGCAACTTACGTTAGCCCGTCTGCAGCAGCTGGGGCTAATGTTAGCCCATCTATAGCAGCCGGGGCTAACGTTAGCCCATCTATAGCAGCCCTCTCTCTGCATAGCCGTGTGTGAAGTACCGCTCGCTCTGATGGCAATTTTCTTGTTTTATTTGGCAAAATGTTCATTTGATTTGTGTTTATCTGAGTTTGTTGATTATTGTTTTCCCACTAAATGAAAAAAAGTAAGAATTTCTTATTATCTAGAGACTGTTAATAACAGGAGGTGAAATGCAGCTCCAGACTAGGCGAGCGTGTGGTGATGTCATCAGTACGCTTCTGTTCCAACTGACCCATATTTATGCTGCGTGCTCCCGTTCTCCCAGAGTCCACACTTTACTGTGTTCTTCTCAAGAACATACTTGGCGAGAACAAGAGTCTGTACTCAAGTTTTTTAGAATTGAGAAATGGTCTCTGTCTGTGGTTCTGGTCCAATCAGGCCGCCTACCATCGCGGTCACTGGACCAGCTTCTGGTACCTTTGGTTCAGTGTGGGCCGGTACCGAGAGAATGAAACCAGGTGGAGATGCTGAAATGCTCCAGAATGTCCAGGTAGGCGACTGAATTCACAGATGACCTCTGAAAACCCAGTGGACCAGAACCAGCAGATGAAAACGTGCTTCTGTCATAATCTCTGGTTCCGGAGAGGCTAAACACAAAGGATGACGCCAGAAGCTCATGGGCGGGAACCTCTGTGCTCCTTTTCCTGCCACACTTTCTCCCTCCACTCAACTTTCCATGAATGTGCTGAGATGCAGCTTCTATGACCAGCAGAACTTTAGCAGTGAGTTCTGATGGCTGTGCCTCCATGAGGATGTAAGCTCCTCCAGCCTCCTGATTGGTTTTCCTTCTGACCCAGAACTGAGAGACCAAAGACAACCAGGAAACCTTCAGAGTTCATTATCAGTGGAAACCAATAAATGTCCTGAATTCTGAGAGACGGAAAGTTTTTATTCCCTGGAAGCAAAAATAATGTGAAATAACCGTAATAAAGGCTGAAAATGTTCCCTCTCTCTGCTCACCTGAGCTTACAGGTATAGTGGAGGATGTTCTTTTTCATCAAAATAAGTGGTCCTCCTTATTGTCAATCATTCTGGTGATACGTTTACGTAAGGTCGTCCTACGTGCTCGTCCAGATTTTCACTTACTGGTGTTCAGTCTGACATAGAGGAAAAATTTTAAATCTTCTTTTGGAAGGTGAGCTTGTATGAGGGATGACAACAGCAACTTTGAAACAGAGCGTGCACAAGGAGAAAGGAGCTCATGCACGCTCTCGCACGCGTTTAATAGGTGTCCCCTCTCTGGAGCGGGTACAGGGTTGAGCATGTGGATTTTATGTTTTTTTTTTTATTTGCGAAAATTCCTCCACATTTCCTTTAACCATGATGTTGGTGTCCGAAGCAGAGAGGAGCAGAGATGCAGTTTTTTTGTTGTTGTTTTTAGTTAAAATTAAAAGAGCAAAAACAAATGTTGATCTGGGGGCGTACATAGTGCTTAGACTGCGCTCTGATTGGTTGATGTGGGTTTCTGTGAACGGGAGAAAGGTGGTTCTGTTTGTGTTGATTGGTACCAGTGAATATAACACCTAACGGGTCAGAGAAGACGCCAAAATGGGCCTGCAGCTTCGTACTGGTGAGAGCCCGCTTCTAAATGCTCCAGGAGGAAGTTGAAGTCTTTAACTTTGAACTCCTCTTCTTACCTACATGATCATTTAGCTTTGCTTTAGTTGGTTCAGAACCAAACCGCCTGTCCTGAACTGGGATAACCTAGAACCACTAATGAGTTCTAGTTCTAAAGAAAAAGTCTGAAGAGCTTCAGTGTGAAGATCAGGGTTTAAAAACAAAATTTTTTTCTTTATTTTCCATCTGTGAGACGGTTCTGGTTCTGGTTCCACAGAGAGAATTG